TTCAGAGTAAGTTCTAGTTTCTTTGTAATGAATAGCTATTAAAATCAGTAAGTCTTTTTTGGCAGCTATCTGATTCCCTGAAAATAGAGCCACAAAATGCTTTGCATCAGGTATATTATTTATGGGGAGTACAGACAGACTTTGGTGGTAAAAATTAATTATGGGCTGAGAAATTCTATTTGTTTTCTGCTTCATATTTTTAGCTAAACATGAGCTAACATAATGCCAGTGACATTGCTCTTCTATCTTCACAGGATCGAAATTAAAACAAAAGCCACTTAAAATAGCAGCATAGGCATAAAGGAAGTTATTAGAAGTCAAGACCAGAAATAAGTGGCACTTCCAAATGGCCCACAGAATCCAGTATCAGGCAGGACCATGACTCCTTTCTGTTCCTTATGTGTAAGTACCAATACAGAGGTACTAATAGATGAGCATTTAGCTCTCAAAAAGAGTTAATGATAAATAATGACAGTAAGTGGGTTGGGTATACTAATTAATCTGACTAATTACAGGGGTGGTGAGCAAAGCAAAATGGAGGGGTTGAAACAAAATAAGCTCTATTCTGAAATGAGCTGCATCCTGATGCCATGTGTAGCTCATCAAATTGTAACAACTCTGCTCTTGACTCTAGCTCCCTCAGAATGCAGGGACTGATGTTGCTGTCATCCTCTCTTCACAGTCTTTCTTGCCAAATTATAGTTACCCTCTCTTTATTACCTAGGCCCAGACCTATCCTATCCTCCCCCTGTTCTTTTGATTATTTTTCCTTTCTTTCCCCCTTAATTTTACAGGATTGCTTTCTGACCTGCAGCTATCTGCATCAGCTTTTAAACTGACAATACTCGGTGACCCTGGCAACAGAGGGCTTCACAAGAACAGTTTTCTATCAGTGTCAGATTCGCTCTTTTCTTCATGTGTCCTTTGTCTACTTTGATCTTTAATTCTGGTCTCTGCTTTGATATTGATTCCTAGTCACATATCTCAGTTCTTTATCCCTTGTCTGTCTTTTAACTTGTCTTTTGCCAGCCCCTTCCCTAAGAGCTGCTTTGGGCAATCACAAACCTGGCATGAGGACATCCTGGTTCCTCCTGACTTGGGTCCAAATCACACACCATGTCTCACCTTGCCTTTAAAATGGGTTAATTCTTTGATTCTTGTGGTTCACATACTTCAACTCATTCTAAGTGCTGTATCTGAATCTTCTCTTTATCCTTTAAATCTTGTTTTTAATGTTTATGTTCTTTATCCTTTGATTAAGAACACAGGACAGGGTTGCACAGGTTATCAAATCCATTCCTCCTGTCTTTTGCAGGCAAGTTTGTCATGGAATTGCTTTCATAAATCTGCCAAGGTCTACTTTTAAATCGATTATTTTTTCCCCTCTGCTCTCCTAAGAGAAGCTGTTTCCACACCTTATGATTAGAAACTATGTCCCATTTTCCAGCCTATAATGATCTGTATCTTGCTTATGCTCTTTTTCCTTTATGACAATTGCATCCATTAACATCCCTGTTACACTCAGAAATGTCTCACGTCTTATTTTCCTAGGTTAAACAAATCAAACCCTTCTAATCTGTCTCAGATAAGCTCTCCCTTCCCCAGAGGCCTCTGCTCTGTTTAAGTCTGAATAAATTCTTCCTGAACATGCGTGATTGTAATTCCCTGTGATATCCTAGGTGGGATGCAACACTATTAATTTTCATATCTTTACTGGAAATATTTTCCCTGATGCTAGGCTTTACGTATCCTAGGCTTTACTTGCTTATTTCACAGCTGCATCATTCTGGTGACTCAAAAATGCCTTGTGACTCACTGGAGTCACAGGAGTTGGGGGTTTGGGGTTATTTTTTATTGATCATTCTCATAAAAAACTGTCATTGATAGTCCTTAATGGCATGACCCAGGACCTTAAAGCATTTAGGATCTTCTCCAATTTTTTATGCTTGAATCATTGAGAATAAAAATTGCATAAACTCACAATGTATATTTGTATACATAAATGCAAAAAATTTACAAAATATGCATTGATCCTCCCAGTCGTATTTTATCAGCAGAGTAAATTTAAAAGCCCCTCTCTTTAATGCAAAGTCTTGAAAATGTTAAGTCATATTTGTTCCCAGATGAGTCCTTATCTGATTTTACTCACATCCTCCTCTCAGCCCCGCAGTTCCATCCTCAGTAGACTACCATTAACGCCCCTTTAGCCACTGCTTTAGCTGAAAAATTTCTTATCTAGCTTGTCATGGCCCTGTGTGCAGCTACAGGCTCTGCTACAGGCTCTGCTACAGGCTCTGCAGCCTTGTCTCCTCACTCCTATGGGTTTGTCTGCCTGTGCTCAAGGCCACTTCTGACCTGGCACAGCCATGTGACCTTGTGTCAGACAGTGGTGATAAATTTCATGTAGGAGGAAGAGCTTGGAGAAACTTTGTTGGTTTCTCCCTGTATTTAAGGAGTGAATTCTGCATTTAAGTTCTAGCCTTGCCCCAGTCCCAGCCTATTTTACATTGCAGACACACCTGTGCATCACTTTGCACCTCACTGATTCTAACCCTGATTTGCAGACTTGATCTCAGATCCGTCTCCTTCCTATGAACTTGTCTGGAGACCTGTAATTTTGTTTGATCCTTGTTATTACCCCCAGATCTGCTCCTTCAGAGACTGCAGGAGGATGCAGGACGTTGCCCTGTTTACCTCAGTGGTGTCACTTCATCACCTAATGTGCTTCTCTTTCTGGAGCAGTCTGCTCTTGCTGCTTATTGATACAGCTTAGCATTTTATAGTATGAAATTATTTCCTACTATTTCCTATTATGTGAAAAATCATTGAATGAGTCAGCAGGTCTTCCTGGCATCTCTTGCCTCTTGGTGTCCCCAAAGTATTAAAAGTTTGTATCTGTGGTGCACAGTTAGTATTGGCTCTGACAGGTGATGAGGTACCTGGGTATGCCAGCAGTGCTGCTAAACTGAAACTAGGCTGAATTCTCACAATATTACACAGGCTCAACAGTAGGATAAACTAGTAGGATAAACTGATTCAAATAAAAGCTCAGGTAAATAATCTGTTGTATTTAATATTGGTGTAATATTGATATTTGGGGAAGTAGCCCCCCCCGCCCATGAATCTCCTTTTGATCTCAAATTCATGGAGATCACAAGTCATGGAGATATTTTCGTCGGATCTGATGAGCCCTTAACACAAAGCAGCAGAGGTTCCCACCTTCAGGTCTCACTTCCAGTTTCTACAATCTGCTTCTGGAGTAATACCTGAAACTCAACCACAGCACTTGGAGCTTTTGGAGCCCTGGAAGGAATTTCTCCAGCTGGGGGAGTATGCAACTCATGTTAGTATGGCTTTTATGCAGCAGCTGCCACTACCCTTGACCAAATTCAACCAACAAATGTGTCAAACCTATGTTGGTGTAGTCACGTCCCTAAGTAAGAAACTGGCACTATATTCTCCAAGTTACTGACACTTACTTGTGTTGGAGTGCTTATCAGTTGCACGTAATTCACTAGATTATTCCTCTTGCAATTATAAGAGGAATAACATATACGCAATTCCTTGCAGTCAAAATTTTTGCATGAAGGGAATTGCAAAGGGAGAAGCAGCCAGAAGAAAGTAGTGACTGTTACTGCTTGTATGGAAACACCTTACAGAGTAAATAAATATTGATAGTGATAAAACTGTGGACAGAGTTGTAAAGACCATCTCCTTCTGTCCCTCCCAGTTCCCTGATTATCTATACTTCCACAACAAAGCAATCAGCTGACAAGATGAAAATCATCAAGATAAACCTTGAACCTGGGTTTCTCAGTAAGAAGTGCAGAAGACCACACATACATCATTTTTTGGCAAGAGGACTCGAGTATTTTCCATTGACTCAAAAGTGACCAATGGCCAAGCCATACAAGAGCATTCTTGCTGCTGTCCTGTGTCCTGTGCTGGAGGAGCAGTTTCCCAAAGGCCACGGAAGCAATGAGTGTCCAGTAACAGGACTCCCAGCAGCAGAGCTCAGGCTGTTTGGGGAGAAACCTCAAAAGAGAGGTTTTGTGATAGGCTAAGTGCATCAGAAGAGAAAGAATGAGTCTGCTTGGGATGACAGGGAGAGAAACAAATTGGCTGTGGTATTATGTGCAAAATTCTGCATTCTTCAAATGTTGGGTTTGGAATGACAGGCAAATTTACCAACAGAAAATGCTGTGGCTTGGGAGCTGAAACAGACACTGTAGCAAACGCATACTTATCCTCACTGTTGGCTATAGCAATGAGCACACAGATACTGAAGTATTTATGTTGGGAAGTACATAGAATTGCTTAATCTTGATGTCAGTTACAAGGGAAGCTCAATTAGAAGTGTAGCAGTCCAAGACTTGTGAAGATGACTATTCAAGTCAGAACTGGGCTGCCAGCACAATCTTGGTTTTATGGCACAGACATACTGTGAATTGAGCCCAGGTCACTCTTTCTAACAGTCCATGACGTCCTTTCTCTGTGTATTCACACATAGGCTGGGAGCCTTGCTGTTTGTTCCATGACAAAACCTGGTTTTTATGGACTTTTTAAAAGCAATTTTTTTTCAGAAGAACTACGCAATAGTTTTTAATCCAAATTTTATTTTAGTGCAAGGTTAATTTTTCCTTTATGCAGTAATACGGATTTTTCCCCTGTCATACCTGGCTAGCACTGATATACCATTCCTGGGCACGGTAGGAAAAATGCCCGTGGTTCCATCGCAACCCTCGTTTCTCAAGCGCCTTCTCAGAAAGCTATTTTTTTCCCCCCTCCATAGAGCAGGTATTTTTTTTTCCTCTGTCGGACAACCCGACAAAGGCTAATTTAAATGGCGAGCACACTTCCAGGCGAGAACGCTTCCCGGCTCCGGGGAGCGCCCGTCGGGCAGGCACGTGCCGCCCGCCTCGCGCGGCGCCTCGTGCCCGCCTGGCGCCTGGATCCTGGATGCTGCAGCCGCGCTGTTCCCGCGGCGCGGGGCTCGGGGTCTCCTCCCGGGCCGCGCTCCGACCCCTCGCTGCCCACCGGCCCCGCTCGCTGCTCCGCGGGCCGGCGGCGGGGCGGGGAGTGCGTGCGGGGGGGCAGGGGTGTGTCCTGCTCTCCTGCTCCCTGCCCGGGGCACCGGGGTCTCCTCTCCTCTCCCGGCGGCTGCGGCTCACTCGGCTGGCCGTCCCGTGGCGGGACGTGTGGGCTGCCCGGGAGCCATGGCTCCGGAAAGTTTGCCGCTGCTCCTGCTGCTGGCGGCGCTCGGCAGCCGAGGCCAGTCGCCGTCGCCGCCGCCGCCGCCGCAAAGAGGTACAGGGGAGCGGGGAGCCCGCGCCTCGCCCGCCCGGCCGGGACCGCGGAGGGGAACCCCGCCACCAGCTCGGGAGTCCTTGTGTGACGGGAGGGACGAGGGGACAGGGACCGAGCGTGACAAGTGACCCCCAGGCTGCAGAGAAGGGACTCGGCGGGTGGCACCACCGCGGGTACCTCGGTGGCCGGGCCGAGCAGGGGCTGCTGCGGGGGCTGCGCTGAGGGGCCGGCACATCCCGCCTCCCGCCGCAATTCCCGCTCCCTCACACAAGCGCTAATGACCCGCTTCGCAGCAGCGCAGATGGGCAGCGCTGTGGCTGGACGGGCAGGGGAAAATCGTGTAGGTGAGGGAGCGCTGGAGGACGTGACCCCGTTCCCCAAGCGTCACACAAGAGTTACGGGCTGATCTGCTGGCATCCCTCCTGCAGCCGGGATGTGCCCGTCTGCTGGCATCTCTGTGACAGGGGAGGCTTGATAGGCTGTGTTAAAACACGTGTGGGCTGCCTGTACTGCTTTTAGTTCAGGTGGCAATTTGATGCACTTAGCCCGTCACAAAGCTTTTCTGTTAAAAACTAACCACGACGGGAATGGGAACAGAATCAATTTTATTCTGCATGGATAGTAAATGTCTTAGACATACCATTATCGTGCATTATACAGTGTTTAGGTGTGTTGACACTACAAGGGTGGTTTTTTGTTTGCTTTTTCAGTTAGTGTTCTGTGGAAAGATCAAAAAGAGTGTTGTACAGGTATGGGAGAAATAAACTTTAGTCAATTTCTCAGCTCTCATAGGAAATCCTTAAAACCAATCTTCAGCCCACAATATTCCTTCTGGTGCTTACATTCATGCTCTTAACATTTTTAGCCTTGCTGAAATGAATTCAGTTAGAAGATACTGTGGGTGTGTCAAAATAAAATTAATTCAAGCCTCTGGATTAACAGCTGTCTTTCCTTTGACCCTGATGTCACATAATAGGGTGAACATTATGGATTAAGAATTTTTACGATTTAGGATTTACTTTGGAAAACATGATACGCTGACTCCTTAATATGAATTTTGCTGTGTGAGAATAAATGAAAGTTGATCAAATGTCTGTGTGGATAAAAACTCATCCAAAATTAGACAGTGTTTAGATGACGACTTATTGGTAAACATTGAAGACTGGGATTTCAAAAGTAGAGCATTTAAAATACAGTACATAATACATTTTCTTCTTGCTGATTTTTTCTTCTTTTTTTTTTTCCCCTAATTAATTTTCTTTTTGCTAATATTGATGTGGCATTTCTTTTAGTATTCTCTCTCTCCCATGCACATATATACACAGAGACACTTTTAGAGAATGCCCTTTTGTTTATGCAGGATCATGGTTTCCTTTAACCTCAACAGTGAAGGGATATGTTAATTATTTCCCTTTTAAATTAGAAGTGGGTGTGTTTGGTGTTCATCTGCTGCATCACTTATATTGTAAGTGAGCTCTGGTAATTCCATGAAGAATCCTAGGACTTCTAATTAAATGTTAGTGTGGTGATGGGAGGTACCTTCTAAACTTAACAACTGAATTCAAGTTCTGGACTGCCAAATTTTTATGCCATTTACTGTCTTCTGAATTTCTTTTTAAGATCTGTTGCAGCTGCTAGGAGGTGCTAGCACTATGTAGATGTCACTGTGTTGCCCACTGCAGACAAAGAGGTAATGAACTCCTCTGTAATGCAAAAAGTTAGGAAAGTCTGACTTCACTGAAGTCCTGGGGGATTTTTAACATGTACAAGAATGTTACTGCATCAGTGGTTTGTATCTTTAGACTTACAGCTTTTGTTTTTCGACTTAAATGTTATTTGGTAATAACCATAATGTTGGATGCTTAGTAATTGTTAGCACCAGTTGGATGTCTGTGGACAAAATTATGTAACAGAGCTGCAACGCTTTGAAAAACACCATTTGAGACATCACAATGAATTCCCATGTTGTTTTATAGAACAGAACATTTCAAGAACATTTTGCACCTCAAAGACGGGAACAGTCTGTATTTCTTTTTTTGTTTCTGTTCTTGTGGTTAATTTTTTTTTTCTTTTTAAATTGTTAGAAGACTTAATGTGGTCAGAAACCTGGAGTTAATTTCAAGCTGTTTTTTTTTTTTTGTTGTTTTTGAGATTTTTTTTTTGGTTTTTTTTTTTTTTTGTTTTTTTTTTTTTTTTTTTTTTTTTTAGCTACACATATTATCCTTTTTGTATTTTGAACACTAAATAGTCATGTAGCATTTCTGTCATGCTTTAACCCCAGCCAATGACCATATACCACACAGCCCCTTACACACTCCTTCAAGTCCCAGCAGGACTGGGGAGAAAATCAGACTGGTAAAAGCTGGAACACTCATGGATTGATATAAAGGCAGTTTAGTAGGTAAAGTAAAAGCTCTGCAGGCAAACAAAGCAAAGCAAGGAATTAATTCCCTGCTTCCCATGGGCAGGCAGGTGTTCAGCCATCCCCAGGAGAGCAGGGTCTCATCACACATAACAGTTACTTGGGAAGACAAACACCATCATTCCAAACATCTCACGCTTCTTCCTCCCACTTTATATACTGAGCATGATGTCATATGGTATGGAATATCCTTTTGGTTATTTGGGGTCATCTGTCCCAGCTATGTCTCCTCCCAGTTTCCTCTACACCTCTGGCCTCCTCACGAGTGTGGCAGTACAAAAAGCAGGAAAAGCCTTGGCTCTGTGTAAGGCCTGCTAAGCAATAAGAAAAACATCCCTGTATTATCATCACTGTGTTCAACACAAATCTAAAACACAGCCCCATATGAGCCACTGTGAGGAAAATTAACTCTACCTAAGCTGAAACCAGTGCAGTTTCTCAGAAAATGGAAGAATCAGAACCAGAAAGGCATGTGCATTCTTCAACAGTGTTTCTTAAAGGTGTGCATAACTTGCAGTTAAGGTAAACTGACCGAAGTGCTATGCAATGTTCCTTTGAATCTTGAACCTTGGTTAATCCTATTTGGTGTGGAATGGGAGAGAACCAAAATAGTAGTAATTTAGAAGGTAACGTAAAATTTCTTTTGATCTTGAATTCATGCATTTTTAAAAGGATCTCTCTATCTGTTATGAGAGAGAGCGGAAGCTATGTGTCTGTGAAAGGTGTGAATAGAAGGGACAGGGCTAAGGAACATACACTGCACAGTAACTTGATCTGTAATGTCAGCTGCTGACATCGGTGGAGATAATTCATGGAGTACAGGTGCTTTTAGCATGTGTGGAAGGAAGTGTAAGTTGACTCCAAGTGGTGATGTATATAGGATGCTTGTAAAGTCAAAGTGAGATTTCCCACTCGAAAGAGAAATGAGGGGTGAACATCAGCAGGATATGACTAGTGCCTGTCTGTTAGGCAGTGGATGGTGTCAGGCAGGTCAATATTTTTAAGTCTCTCTGTAGGTGTACATTTTTTAAACAAGTTTCTGGAGAGTTTAGTTCAAAACTGTGTTCTCTGTGTTATGTCATTGCAACTAGGACTTACAAGATTCCTTCCCACATACAAACCTGTGTGTATATTGTACCCTATACACTGAAAAGTCAAGGGACAAGGCTAATAGGACATAAGTTTGGTATTTCAGATTTAAGAATGAAGAACGTGTGTAGACTTAGATTCTCTCTTTCCTGAGACAAAAACACCCCAGATGCTTTGTTTTTGTAATCTGTAAAAGCAGAAGTCAAGTTTCCTCTTTCTTTGGAATTTCTTTGGAGTAAGGTCAATTTCAAAACTCACCAACACCACTCAGCTCTAATCTTGTAATGGAGAGCATCTCCATCATGGCTGATAGCATTTAAACATTCAGAGCACTCTGCTGGCTCTATTTGGAGAACAGAGCTTGTAAGAGATTTACTTGGTAAACTTGCTTTCTACTTTTCTGAGAAAACAAGGCTTAGATGATTGTTTATCAGCTTGTTCTCACCAGAATAAATTTTGAGTCTGTTACCCAATATCAGCAAATATAAAAACAATGCAAAAGTCTTTAAGATATGATGACTGAAAGTCAATGGCTGCTTAAGAGAATGAGTCCCAAAATACTTTATCTTCTGCAAGAAGAAAGGTAGAATTTAGCCATTATCTAACCCATGTAGTCCTTGTAAGTCAACATGTGTAGAGCTCTGGCTAGAAAAATATGAAGGAGGATATGACTGTTGTGGAGGGCTGGCATCTTAGAATGCATAAAATTCTGTGTAATTTTATTTTTTAAGGATTTACTTAATCCAGCTTCAGGATTTTGTAACAGGTAACAAGCCTTGTTCACTGAAGGTGTACTGCAGTAAAGTACATTCTGTATGTTTCCTTTTCACAGTCTGTATGCTGTTTAATGTTCTGGTAGATAAATTTTTTTGTGATCTGGAAATTATGATTTCCTTTTTTATTATTATTTATTTGTTTGTGTACAAGATCATAATCAGTTATACCAACTCTTTTAGCAGTATTTACTGCTGTCTGATCAGTTATTCAGAGATTAACTACCCCAAAATGCTGCTCTCATATATACATTCTAATTGCTTTTAACTTTTTCTTCAAAGCTGTTGTCCATATCACTTTCTTATAGTTCAATAACTGGCTGAGAAAGTGAAAGCAGAGAGAATTAATATGTGTTTAAGGTTTAGAATGTGAGAAATAGTAAAGGGCCAGCCTAAGGTGTTAGAAATAGGTAGAATTGCCCAGACTGACTGGAGACATGGGCTTTTTGTGTACTTGCTTTAACTAGAAATAACCACAGCCAAAGCATATGAGGTAGGTCTTGTACATGAATGTGTGAATTTCTCCAAGCAACAAATAAGAACATAAGATGGTAAGACGCATTTTATATATAACCTCCTTATTATTAATTTTTCCTCCGAGTTTTTTAAATGAGTCATTCTTATTAGGCTTGAAATGCTAAAGTCAGAACAGTGGTTCTTTAACCTGTTCCAAAAATCCGCTTTAAAATAATACAGCAAACAATCATTTTTAATTA